AATAAATCAAACATTCGATCACTTTCCTTGGTTTTCAAATCAAATTGCAAGCTATGTGCTTGGATTGGGAATCACTTATGGTGACTGAGATCGGTGACCGCCAGTTATATTTATGAATGCAACGACGACGGGTTGGACATCACCCTACTACCTTATCGAATACGGACAATCGCCTGTCCTAACTTTCAATTATTCTTCAAGCTGTGGGTAGAGTAGCACGGCGTGCACGACCGAATGCGTATTTTACGGTGCCAGGAAAAACGCAAGCCAACCAAAATGGTCGGAAGATGTCGCAAGAAGAGTAAATTTTGAGAAGCAAGCCAAGTCACATGGAGTGATGCCGATCTGTAGTGTAACAAATAAGGGCTCTTTGACTTCTATTTCGCATAAAGTGGTCAATAAGGTCAGAGAGATGTATAATGGGCAGCCCAGATTTTGATAACTAATTAGATGTACAAACAAGCAGCCATTAGACTAGTCAAGTCATTACCTCGAGTCGACAGTTCAGGGCGTTGTGAGGACCGAGGAGTGTCGAGGTGTTGGTGTTGTCACTAAGTGACGATCCATGGCGCTGGTGATGAGTTCAAGAAAGAACTCTTTTCGCCTGATATTGTACGCAGTGGTTCAGTGTATTTCTGCTACGTACCGATACGCTTTGTGCTTGAAGCGAGGTGAAGAAAATTGTGCTTTGTATTTGTTGTGCATTTGTTGGGGCGCTAAACCTCATCTCTTTTTGGTGGTGATCATGTGAAACGTGATGTTGAAATTGGCACGACAATTGTAGGAGCAAACGACATTCTGCTTGTCTGTAGAGCTTAACAATTCAGAATGGAGCTGGACAAGTCTGAGATAGCAACATGAAATGCGAAAACTAGACTGATTGTGCACCACCATCGATACCAACACGTTGTTTGAATATAAAATTAGCAACCAGTTTGTGCAAAAGCACACGAAACGTACATTCGTGACCTATAGCCATGGATACCACGTAGGATACATTTCCCGCTGGCACTCTACGCTCGTTGCAATCTCCACTAATTCTTGTACGCTCTTGCCTCGTGAAAACTTGGCATTCTCTTTTTTGAGGGCGACACCACGAATCCTCTCAAGCACAAGACCTACATTTGCTTCCACGCGATGCTGCACCTGCGACTCTACGTAGTGCTGCTCGGGAGAGACTGGACCTAAAGACCCGACAGGGGACAACGCGCGACCAGAAGTATGCGGATCATGAGATAGTAGTCGAGTTTTCGATGCATGCCACGACATTAAGTCATCGCGGAAGAAGAGACACAACTGGTTATTCAAAAGATCCTCCTCACTCGTGAGAGCTTCTGCAGCAGCAGTCATTCCGACACTAAATGGTCCTTGTACACCCGGTCGCGTCATAAAGCTGTGAAGATTACGCGTAAGACGGAATGGCATTGTCGTCGCAGCCTCTAAGATGCCACTATTTGCGTACCCGGGCCGCAACTCTGTGCTCACCACGCGACCTGTGCGCCGTGAAAATAGCACACGATGGGGGGCACGGTCACCGACAAACAGCGCGTACGACAAGAAGCTTGAAAGGGCCAAATGCTTCGTAAACTCGCCACGGAAGTGAAAATACGCGTCGCTGTGAGCTGAAATGCCGTGCACATACTTGGCAAGAAGCGTTTCGGAAACGTGCTCCTTACAAATATCGTTGAAAGCTTGAGCCTTGGCCAGCGCAACACGCTCTTCCTCCTGCTTACTAGACTCACTTTCCATTCCTGCCGCTGCGTAGGCCTCGCTGATATGCTCGCGGTAAAGCTCAACCGGAAAATCGGGATCTTTGTTCTCCATCTGGCAGTCCAGCTCATACACATCACCTAATGTGACAAAATCGCGATTGTCCTCAAGCAGCCTCACTCGCGGCGTGAGTGGGATAACCTTTGGCAAGTGAAAGACTAGATTGCGCTTCTTAGTCTCTTTGTGGCGAGCAAGCAGGCGGTTTAATAGCAAATACATCTGCATCATCCGTTCATCTGTGCGAGTGATGTGAGTCATTGCATATTGTACTAAAAAGTAGTAGGATCGGCCATCGCTACCGCCCATTGCTACACGTCGCTGTGTAAATCCATTGCGCAGTAGCACATCGACCGTGTTCTTGAAGTGTGAGATGCGTGCGTGGAGATCTTTGATTGGCTCGCTGTCTGAAACGTACTGACCTGGAACCTCCATGTTAGAGCTGCTCAGCTCCATCAGGTGACGACTGCACTGTTCAAGATACAGCTTTGCTGCATTCCGCTTGCCCACTTTTTTGACACGTAATTGCAACAGACTTTTCCATCGCTTTAAGCGATTCATAATCTCGCAAAGTGTTGTGGTCTGGTCAGTGTGGTCGGGCTCAACTCCATCTTCATAAGGGCTAAAGTCGCGTTCAAAAACGTCCTTGAATTCGTCGACAAACGCCTCATGCTTTTCGTTCTTTTGGTGAGGAAGCAGCACAAAGAGTTTGCGGCACACTCTGGCAAGCGCAGCACGCAACATCTTTGGAACAGGCTCCGTTTTCGTAAGTCTCGGAAGCTGATAACACTTAAGCAAAAGCGCATGGACTGCAGTTAGGAGCTCTTCTTCCGGTTCAGGTCGAAATCGAGTAATCATCTCCTCTAACATGCACTCCATCTCAAACGTAAGCGAGTCGTGAGACCTGCGCAAGAAGTTCAACAAGTCTTCGGTATACTGAACGGGTCCAACTTCAGCCTTTAATGAGTGACCATCGCCGCCACTGCTACGAATCTTTTCAGTCCATGCTTCTAGCGTCATCACGGCACTAGAGGATGCATTAAATGATGCAGGCGTCGGTCGAGAAGGTCCTACTAGTCCCGGAATTTCTCGGACCTGAGCAATGGGCATCGTGTCAGGAACCCCCACAACGTGACCCGACTTTGTTCGGTAGAAAGATCGTGACACGGCTGGAGATGTGGCACCTGCAGAAGGAGATATACCTGTCTGCCGCTGAATAGAATTCATCGTGGCATTGTCACGGTTCTCCAAGAAAAAAGCTCGCATTGTATAATATAGCGCTTGAGGAAATTTGGCAGAAAGACCGCGCAATAACCCCCGTATCTGGGGTGCTTCCGGACGACCAAGCGCCATAAGTAACTGCGGGATCCAAATGATCCAAATCCAAATTGGCAGCTGCTTCCCATGTGTCTCAAAAGCTTGAATTAAGGTTCCACGTTGGTCATCCATGCTCAGCAACCAGAGCACACGTGCAATCATTAGTCGAGCTGAGTTACACCGGTGATGAATAGCCTGCAAGTAACATGCTATCGTTTGCGAGGCCAGTGCAAGATCTTTCTGCACTACAAACAACTTGTAGCAATAGTGTCCCCAAGATAGCCATCCTTTGCCATAACTATCGCAAATCTGTAGACAATGGGAAAATGTCATATTTGCCTCAGTGAGGGATCCTTGAGCTTCCAAAAAAAGTGCTTTTAGTCGAAACATTTCCGCTTTTTGTCGCAGGCTAAAGTAGTCCAGATTAGTTGTGTTAAGAATGCTCAATCCGCCTGAGTATTCCGTCGCACTCTCGTAGCAAATGCTGACCTGCTCTCGGAGTTTCGAAAAGGCATCCTGAACGTCCATAGCAGGCACCGAGTATAGTTTTGCTAGAGCCCCAAGGCATACATCGGGTAGTCGTTGCTTTCGTGCCGTTTGCGCCAGCTTTATAACGGACCAAGGACTGTCATGCATGCAGGCAAGCACCTGAGCATCGCTTCTGGCAAATGTTGTTTTGACCACTTGGAACATGTGCGATCGCCACGTAAGGATGTCATCCCAAAGAAGAATTGGCTCCCATTTGTTCGGTAAGCGCTCCCGCCACGTATTAATTGACGGCTTGAGGTTTGGCAGCGAAGCGTGTTGCATTGTCGCAGTCTTGATATCTTGCATCATCTGAATGGATTCTTCAACTTCGACAAATTTGTGGAATAGATGCATAAGTGGCAGGTGTGCTTGAGAGAGAATACGTGGCAAACCTTGCCATTGATGCAATGCCAGCTCGGCCGTCTGAGAGGCAAGAGTCTCAATAGTAGTGCGTTTCTCAACATCAAGAATCGAGATGTACAGCCGCTGAAGACGGGTCTGTGGACACCCAAGTTCTGTAGAAGATTGCATTGATGGCGCCAGTAGCAATTGCTTTGCTGATGCCCAATCACCTCTTTTCCAGGCACAATCAAGTAACAAGTCTTGATTCTGTGTCGACTTTGCATAATCATTCATAAGTTGCCATTGGCACAGCTGCTTGGCACACCCCACCCACCGCTCTTCCCACAATCGCAATTCAAAGAGATTCACATCCTCTACCTTCACGCGACCACTTTTAGCATTTGACAATGCGCGGAAATACTCTTCTTGGGCCTCGTGCACACAGCCAAGAGCTTCCAGAGTCAGTGCCGCGCGCGTCTCCGAGTGTGAAACATTCTCTAGGCTCAGGCCGATACGAAGATCATCTTCACTCAGTTGTTTGTAGATGGAACTTAGGGCTTCAATCCAACGCAATCTGCTCTCCACGCTCAAGTCTAATTGCTCCACCTGAAACTCACACAGTCGCATCGCACAACTCCATACATCATAAGCTGATGCAACGTGTAGCACGAGCTCCGGCGTCATCACAGGTGCTCTGGGGCTTGTACGTACGATACCTTCCATCAGAGTCTGCACCACATTGGTACGCCGAGGTGTAGACGCGACCAGAGGCACGTTCAAGTCGCGTTTATTGTACTTGGAGGCTAAAATCTTTAACAATTGGCCGGACACCTGAGTTTGGTCTGTCTTTTTGAGCAGACCCCACACTGTGCTAAACAAACTCACCCACAACTCTTTCGCTAGGTCTAAGTCAATGTGTGCTAATTTTCGCAACGCTGATGTGAGCTCTGAAGCCTCTATCTGGCTACAAAATTTTAAAAATTTATCATGAGATGAAGTTCTCGCCACAGTTGGTTTTCCTTCTCGTTGAGCCGAAAAGACCACAAAGGACGAAATAGCAGCCATAAGTGTTTCAATTGCAATGACAGGCCAGTATCGAGTCCCACAAGCTTGCCAGTCTTGACGTAGCACATACTGGAGGCGTGCAACAGGTCCAGGGCCAGCAGCGGCAAAAAAAATCTGCAGGAACTTCTCTCGCGTAATCGGGTCTGGAGCAAGTAGACCTGCCACAAAGTGTGTCGTGAGGCCATGACTTTGAGGAGTAGGACTTAATTGCAACTGAGGTGTATGATTCTTTGGGTCATTGAGTGGTAGATTACATAATTTGAGAACCAGCTGATAATACTCTTCATTGAGAGGAAGAGCCGAGATCTCATTAAGTCGGTCGAATGTTGCCATTTTGCTCAGTAAAGTCATCTTGTCTTTTGTCGTCAAAATCTGATGACGTGCATCCGTTGATGCGATCATTTCGGCCACTATTTTCGTGATTTGTAGCAGCAGTGGAATGTTGTAAGAACCTTCAAGACAGTGTACCAGCAAATTTATGTATAAGCGACAGTGTTCACCACTTGTGAGCGTGCACTTCGCCAACAGCGCATAGCACAGTACCAGCATTTCAATCGGCCTCTTGTCGTTGTGACCGCTCAAGCCACTTTGTACGGAAAGTTGACCGGCGTCCATCTTCTTCAGCGCGCCTCCTAGACTTAAGGTTATCGGATCATTGCCAAACATATCATTCACATTACTCTTCCGCTTGAGCAAAATTTTTTCTCCTGCAGTCTCGCGTTTCACATGTCGCACGATGTTATTAAAGGCAAGGTTCGATCGTCCTGTCTGAATTTGATCCCACTCATTAACGATTGCTAACGAAGGTGTAGCCATAACCCGGTTCCGTCCAAAGGAATCCACGACCGCCTGACCACTTTCAACACCCATCACTGCACCATTAGAAGCTCCATGCTTTTCACCAAGGGAATATTCACATCCAGTAGCAGCTGACTGAATCAGGTGCTCACGCGTGAATCGCTGCGCCAGCTTGAGTAATGCTGGAGCAAAGTGATCCACGAGCTCCGGAGCAACTTTGGCTAGTCCACTTAGCAGCTTTAGGGTGAATTCTCCAGGATAACTTAGAGTTGACACTGTTCCTCGTGGTTGTTGCGTAAAAAGCAAGCGCATACGAGCAGCTTCGTGATTGATCAACGGATTGATGCCATCTGTGTCTTTTGAGTGTTTGTTTAAAGCATCGTGATGGCCTACTGTAGCATTGCCAATCGTCACTCCCACCTTTTCAGCTTTAAAGCTAGCCACGCTGAGTGATGCATTTTTAGTCTTGGTTTTGGAAGCCAGAGTGCTCGATCCCGCTGGAAAGCTTCCGACACCTGTACTTAAATCCTGCTGAAACAAGGCTGCATTAAGAACACGCTCGTTAATAATGTCACGGAGCCATGGATAGAATTTGCACACGATCAAGGGTTGCGGGGCACGAGACGGAGGATACAGCTAACGGTCAGACATCCAGAGGAAACTATTAGTATAGTGGTCTTTTGCTACATTGAGTTTGTCATTACAAATTTCCATACCTCTGCCAGACGGCATAAAAATTTCATCAAACTCGTTTGAATCTCGGGATTTTGACGATCAAAACACGGCTCCAGCAACTTCATAATTCGAGGCGCGTACTGAATCACGTAAGGGACTGGACGCTTGGATTTAGTGACGACTTCTGGGGTAACTAACGAGTTCAAGATGCCCAATACAGCGTCAAGAATTGCGAGTGAAGATAAAGGTGCGCCTTTCGGAACCGAAAAAAATGGCGGCATCACTGTTGGTGGAAGTGGTGCCGGAATTGGAACTTGCTGTCCAGATTTCCCAGCTGCAACAGAAGCAGCATCTATACTCACTTGGAGCTGATGCTGTTGCCGAATGACAGTCTCTGCAGTGACAGCAATCAGCTTGTCAAAGTAGGAGAAGCGGATGGCAGCAGACGGCCACAGGCGAAGAGCCTTGTCGAAAAGTTCACCGCAAGTTTTCGCCAAGCGACTCGTCTCTTGCTTGTCTGCGGACGCTAAAGCAAAGCGAAATGCAAAGTTTATGACCAGGTCCACCATTGCTCCACTTAACTCAAAATCGTCGTCATTGCTCGCTCGAGTAACATCTGAAGACGAAGATGCCACCTGTTGATCCGACCCTGATGTCGCGGACATCTGCGTTAAGGCTTGAGTATGCAACATAATAGATCGGTCTTCGCCCGGCTTTGCATTCACATCAAGTTTTATCGCCTTCGACGCCAATTCATTTGCAGTGCCAGGCATCAAAACTTTTCGCTTTTTCATCGCATGATCATCTTGTGATGCCTCAGAGGCTGCTAAACCCATTGCAGATGGACTTCGCTTCAGCTCTTTACCAGGAGTTGTCAACTTGAGCCCGGAAGAAGCGCTCCGAACAGTAAGTCGATCTTGCCGTGTTTGCTCCCACGAAATGACTAAATCCACGATATTCACCGCGAGTCGGCGATTGTCCGGCGTACTGCTTGGGGGAATTGCCAAGCGATTTAGGGAATTTACCATGAGAGGTACAAATTGACCGCGGAAAGGATAAAATAGTGCTGGGTGACGAACAATAAGAAACCAAATGTGCACAAGCTGTCCAAGTACGTGGCCTTCTTCGTATGCGATCTTCTTGGTCCATTTAATCGCTTTAATGAATTCGTTTGAGGGAAGGCGACTTGGTAAAGCAGGCAAAAGGATGTCAAAAGCCTTGCGTACGAGGAAACGCGCGTCCATTTCATGCGTGCGCAAAAGCGCAACATAAACTTGTAGCACAATTTTGGGCGGAGTGTCGTAGACTGAAATGAAGCGACATACATTGACATAGGCCCAAAGCTTTGACGTCAGATCTTGTGCCTTTAAGTGGTTCCACGCAAACTTGATCACTTCTTTACGGTGGTCCGTCACATACTTGCTCATATGCTGAATTAGAAGCGTGCCTAACTTGAGCAATTCAATTCGTAGGCTTTGCATGGAATCCGTTGGAAAATCTTTGCTCGCTAAAATTTCCCTAAGCATCCACATGATGGTGTCGAGATCCATGACATCGATGTTGCTTACATTTGAATCCTCGAATGATGTCGTAAGCACAGGCGTGATCAAGAGTTGTACAGTATGAACTTTGAGCTCTTCGGACGCACTTGGCTCGCGAAGCATTCGCAAGAACAATCGAATGAGGTTGCGTTTGTTAAGAGTGCTATACTTCACTGCTACCTCCTCGCGATAAAATGTCTGCAAGAAAGTAAAGTCGAAAGGTGTACGGTGCAAGAAGATCGATACCATGTCCAGAAGCACTTGCACGTCTTCAGGTTTAACGCGACTGTACGTGATCATACACTTGATCAATAGCTTGGATTCAAGGTGTAGCTTGATTGGAAGATGATCTGGTATTACAAGCCGCTGCACGCGAGCTGGTGAGCGCCAGAGTTTCCGCAAGCACTCAATAATCACAGTTTGTGTTGCCAGCCACGTTGGATGAAGTTTGCTGACTGATCGAACCAGCCGCAATCCCTGATATTGCAGCTCTAGCGCCTCTTGGTGTGATTTTGATACAAACAGCCCACCGCTTACAGGTGCTGACGTGTTGCCTAGACCCAACGAAGACACTAGACCTTGACTCTGTGCACGTGCAATTTTTGCTTGAGCTTGAGCATTTGCTCGGTGTACGTAGGTCGCTTGCGCTTGTTTTGCTTTTTCCTGCGCTTGCAACGGTTTGAGACCTTGTGCTTGTGCTGTTGCAAGTGCTTGAGCGTGCACTTTCTGAGCATTCACTTGAATTTGAGCTTGAAGTTGCTGTGCTTGCTGCTGCGAGACGAATGAGCTCATCGCGGTGTTTGGCAGCGCCGCTTGCAAAGCTGCTGAAGATAAATGACTTTGTACTTTCGCGATATATTCTTTGCTGGCCAATTGAGCTTTTGCCTGAGCTTGAACCAGCGACAGCCCTTGCGCCTGTGCTGCGGCGAGAGTCTGAGCATGCAACTTTTGTGCATTTGCTTGAATTTGAACTTGAGACTGCACTTTTAGAGCCTGTTGCGCGTTGACTTGCGCCTGAGCTTTAACAACGTACGCCGCACGGGCTTGTACTCCACGAGCCTCTGCTATAGGCGCTGTCATTCCTTGAGCTTGAGCGCTCGCAACTGCGTGAGCAGCCGCTTTCTCGGCATTCAATTGAATCTGAGCTTGCATGGTGCCCTCACTTGACGCTTCTGCGCCAGCCTTTGACTCCCCTAGATCAGCGGCATCGGTCTTTAGTGCTGCATTGAAAGTTGCCTCAACAACCAATTCTGCTCCACCGTCGCCTGTAATGACTGCATGAAGAGGACCCGCTTCCGGGAGTTTGAGTATTTGCTGAAAAAGTGATGAAAACTTTACTTCTAACAGATGTTTACGCATTAGAAAAAATGAAACAGCCATAGACGCGTATCGATTTATAAATCGTGTCAGTGGAATTCGGTATGGGGAACTCATTTTGCCATAGCTTCCGTACTTTGGTAGTACAGCCTCCAGGTCCACTACACAATTTATAAGTGGCTCCAAGAACGCATCATTCGAGGGAAGCAAATGAAAGAGGTTCACAATCGCAGCTGCTACAGCAGGCTCCTCTCCTCGCTTCCAAATTCCGGCTTTGATTATTCGATCTGGATCACGCCACTGTTTCAGATGTTCCAAAAGTTTTTCTCCAAGTGTGACATTGAAACAACTACTAAGTAGTGTCAACAACCGAGACAATCCTTCAAGAAGCGGTATATTCAGCTTTCGATAGTCTGCCAAATTCAATAACACTGGTCGTAAGCACTGCTGCAAAAGGTCTTTGGGTAAAAACACGTCTTTGTTCTGCTTGTTCAGCTGAATGATATCCGTCAGCGCATCTTGAGCGACCTGTACCAATTCTGGGGGCTGACCCGTTAAGTATCGAAAAAAGACACCTACGAAGCGATTGCGGTACTCAGGGTGTTGATTAATATCTGTGGGCGCTGCGACAAAGGCCGCACGAAGAAGTTTGGTAGCTGCAATGCGTAACTCACAAGCTTGGGACAGCCCGAATGGATATTTCTGTGCTGGAACACTGGACCCTGCAATTCCAGCCGTTGCACCTGCAGCATGACTAGGACTCTCAGCTCCTATCATCGTGACTCCGTCGCGCTGCGAGTCTTCCGAAATTAACTTCCATACTTCTTGAAGAAAGAACATAATCTCTTTTGTCAACGAAAAGATTGGAGGCCTTAAAGATAGTGCGTATGCCATAGCATCAACATACCCTGTCCTTGTGTTACTTGAAAGCATACGAAAATTACAACCAGTAATCTGCTTACAAATTAGCTGATTGTATGGGTACAGCAAAGCTGAAGCACTTGTTTTCTTTAATGCAGCGATAGCGTGAATACACTCTTTCGCATACAGTCGTGTTGGTGCCTTTGAGCTCAAAAACTCCACAACAACCATTTGAAATACTTCTGTATCTTGGAAAGCAACACACGAATTATAACAACTTTTCTGGGGGTCATTGTCGTCAAGTCGATCAGAATTTTCCGAATGAACCTTCCACGCTGTCTTGACAACAGTCACTAGCGTCTCTCCAGTCACAACACTGATGGTCGCACTTACTTCGGGAGGATGATCTGAAAGCACGAAAAAAAGAGCTTTGATAATAGTGAGCTCGTTTTCGTGGCACCACTGAGCTCCTAATAGATCGACAAGCAACTGGAGTCCAACTGCACCGCCAAGTTTCTGACGCCAGCTTTCTTTGTCATAGCAGCCATGTGCAAACACTTCACACATTCTGTTAAACAAGGCACCTCCGCTTTCTACAGCCAAATGCCGCGAGTCGAATTGAGCAATAGCCGTCCTAACTATAAATGCGGTAATTTCTGTTGCAGCATCAACGACGCGTTGGTTGGGCGAGCTCAACGCAACCGAAACAGTTTGGATAAATGAGCAAAATTCGTCGGTCACGTCAGCTTCTATCATTTTGGCGGTACCGTAAGTTGCTTGACGTAGCGTTTCAATTCTTTTTGCTGTCGCCAAACGACGACCAGGTGGTAATCCTCTAGTGGCTGCATACAATGTTGACGCATGGAGTGAGGAAAGAACAGCAAAGTTTGGTGGATCGCGCGAGCACTTGTCGAGAGCTAGTACCGTCAAGTGTCCCGCAATACCTTCCAACACTTCTCTAGCCTCCATGCCTACGTCGACATCCGCTACGGTTTCAAACAAGACCTGCAATAGCTGTGAACGTGTAGCACGCACAGCCTCTTGCGACAATACCTTTTGTATTGGCTCCTCTGCGTTGCCAGCATTCGTTTCTACCACCTCTTCGTCAGCCAACTCACTATTATTAATATCCAGCGAAATGACAGCCGCACGAGAGACAAACGCAAACGCGCACCGCTTGTGCTGTACAACCCACCTTTGGATCTTTTCCATCGTTTCTGTTTCCATTTGCAATGTTTTGTCATCTTTAACCAGCAAGAAAGAGGGTCGTGTCAAAGTGTCACTTTCCTCAAGTTCGTCGGTATCAGCAAGTCGCGCGTCTACTTTACTTATATTGCTGCGCTCGGTCGATGTATTTCGCAAATACCTACGAAGCACCTGAGCTGCCTGTGCGACAAGTACGTCCATCTTCAACGGAAATTTGTCACCTTGCGAGAGTGCGACGCCACCTTTTTTCCAATTGTTATCTAGACCGTCTCCATTTTCACCCCATGAGAAAATGAAGGTGAGTCCTGCATGAGAGTTTTGTTGATAGTCCAGATTCAGTGGATCCATTAGATACTGACGATTGCGGCCGCCAATTTTTCCCAAAACCCGCATTGCTAATTCGCCATACGGATACGGCGGCGGAATTAGATGGGTGTTCAACGCCTCAATTATCTCAGTCAAAAGCCGATCCTGAGAAGTCATTATCGGATACAAGAAGTCTGGATTCAGATTGTCCACCCAGAACTCGAGTGTCCGCAGGCCCAAGTACGCGAGCTCACCGCGCGATAGTATCGCTCGCACCACTGATTTCATCAAGGAAGGAAGGTATTGCAGCAGTGAGCTAAGTCGTGCAGGAATTGTTAAGCATAGCTCCAGAAGAACTTCTTCCATCACCGGCTTACTAATATGTATATGTAATCGCATCAAAGCGGACAGCACACCTGGCAACAGCGGAAAAACCTCCTTATAAAAGTTTTCGTACTTTCCGCCCGAGATTGACCGGAACAATGCGCGCAGCAAGAGCAAATAATTGTCTGGGTGCTTAGTAAACGTCGCCTGTTTCAGGCATGACTCAATAATCGTACGCAGATGCGGAAAGAGCGCAGACTCGTTTGATTTAAATAGCGTGACAGACCCGAATACAATTTTGAATAACCGAAGAATGATAGAAGCACGGTCCACCTGAGATACAGGACGCATTTTCTCAAATTGCAGATTCTCGATAGCCATCACCTTATCTACACGGTTCGTATCAGGGAGATCGCCCTCTGCTTTGACGCTCAAATCCTTCATTTGCGTGATTAAAAACTTCAAAAGGATCTCGGCAAACCAGCAGCTCACATTCGAATTCGCCAAGAAATGCTGAGGTATCGTCAAGATGGCGTAATCCTGAAGTATGCACTCGTAAAGTAGCTGAGTATTTGCGATGAAGAGGTCCCTAAAATCTGCTGCATCTAACACAGTAAATGCGCCAGCAAAATGGTCCAGCATTTGCTTTTCTTCTGACACAGTATTGTCCGATAACGTGTACAAAATGAAACACCGCAGCCCATTCTGTAGTACCTTCGCAATCAATAGCCGTTCGTCATCCGTTAACGGAAATATGTGCTCCGCTCCAGATGATCGAGAAGATATATTTCCAGCAAATTCCATCGAGTGCACGTTTAATTCACTCAGTGGGTCGGAAGCTAGTGCACATCCATCTGCTGAAGAAGCGTCCACGGTGGACAAATCTTTTGCGAAAGGATTTCGATAGTTTGCTGTACACCAGATCACAGCACGAATGCCTAGAATCATCGTGCGCAAAAGTGATTTGATATCACGAACGATCGGTTCTTCCTCTAAAATGGAATCAGCAGGTCGCTGGACTCGCAGATGTGGTAACAAAAGCGATTCCAATTTCTTTTCGTATGGTGTTTTGTGCACGATCTCTCTTGGTAAGAGATTTGACTGCTTAATTTTATCCATTGCTCCTCCTTCCAAAAGATCGCTACGATCTCCGCTTGATTTGTTGCGCAATGTTGCAGCTAGAGCCAGGGGTAAATTTGCTAGAGTCGTACCAAATTTTCCGGATATAATTAGCAAGATTCGCGATAAAATGTTTCGGCCTTTCCACGCATCCGCATCCTCGTTCTTAGCACAAATATCAACAAGATTCAGCAGCAGTCGAATGCTTGTTGTCTGGATCGAGATGGGCAGCGTTGGATCGTGAATGCGCTTACCGTAAAAGTCCACAATGGTGCTCACTTGTGCGAGCGTAAGCATGTCTCGAACATGATGTATCATATCTGCTAGCGTCGAATACGCGAGTGGTCGAATCTGATAGAAGCTGCAGCGTCCTTTGCCGATCAACACGTCATCGTGCATGAGCAGCTCAAGTTGAGAGTAAAATCCACGTCGGAAATCCGTCGAGATTATATGTCTTGCAGCCACAAAAATATCTTTTCGTAAAACAAATGCATCGTTGGGACACGCAATTAGCAGTTTGACTGTATTTTCACAGATCGCATCTTGAAATGGACGCATGAGGTTGGCACATCCACGTAGTAAATACGTCACAAACGACAGTGTTTTGACTTGACAATCCAAAAAATCCAAATATCGTGATGAATGCGTTGTTGCAGCCGTTTCTGGTGCACGCAATGCTAGCGCCGACATCATCAATGGTACCAGAACTGGAATATAATTTTCAATATAGCTTGGATAGCACTGAAAGAGCAACATGATGATCAGCGGCAGCTCCGAGATTGTTTTAAACGATTCTAAATTGCTACATAGAAGCTCATCAGTCGCAGCGTTGGTCCCAGAAGCCGTCGTTGTACTTGCTGTTGTAGTCTCCGTTGCGATTTTGGAAGAGTCAAGTACAGTCGGTGTACCTGTTGTGCTCGCTTCGACCGCACTGTCATTTGGCCTTGTTGCTGCTTCTGTAGTAGTATCCATTTTTGCCGCACTTTCAGTTTTACTTTGTGATGATATAAGCTGCTTTGCTTCGTCTACAGCAACAGTAGTTGAAGGTGCTGCAAGTTTTGAAGCAGTCGGCGTCGTAACTGCTGGCACAGAGCTACTGGACTTGTGTGTGTCTGGTTGGCCGCTGAACTGTTTCACCATTGTCGATTGTAAATTCTTATACATGAGCTGAACGAGCTCAAGGAATGGCTGCACTTCGTTACGCAATCCTGGGCGATAGTTGCGGTGTAGATCAAAGAGTGTTTTCAGTGCGATGAGTGCATTGTCCTCGTTATCTTTCTGCAAGACCTCCATGAGAAGCTGCAGCACCTGATTAACATATGGCCTCAACGCTTCATTGCTTGGAAGCCGGTTTAAGATCTGCAGAAGTACCTTACGACAGCGGTTTTGTGTCGTTGCATGCAGTTGCGGTGGTAGTTTTGAGTGCAGTAGTTCTTTCCAGACTGGAAAAAGCGCCTCAAGAATCCGACTTAATTGTGGTGTGTGAAGGATCTCAACTCGGCGGTACAAGTCTACAAGCTCTTTAAGTATCGCGTTGGGATCACCATCCACCAGCTTCTGGCGCACAACCTCGACGTTCATCTGTAAAGGATTTTTTTAAATATGAATTATTGCTGATTTCTTATTAGCTTTTGGTTTTAGTTTCTAGCTCTAGCTTTAAACTTCTAGCTTTTAGTTCTTAGCTTTTAGCTTTCAGCTTTTATTTTTTGTCTTTTATCTTTTAGCTTTTATCTTTAAGCTTTTAGCTTTTAGATTTTAGCTTTTAACGTCTAGCTTTTAGCTATTAACGTTTAGCTTTTAGATTTCCGCTTTTAGCTTTCCGCTTTTAGCTTCTGCTTTTGGCTTTTCGATTTTAGCTTTTACTTTTGCTTTTTTGGTTTTAAGCTTAAGCTTTGCTTTTAGCTTTTAGCTTTTAGCTTTTAGCTTTTAGCTTTTAGCTTTTAGCTTTTAGATTTTAGCTTTTAGCTTTTAGCTTTTAGCTTTTAGCTTTTAGCTTTAAGCTTTTAGCTTTTGCTTTTGGCTTTTAGATTTTAGCTTTGCTTCTAGCTATCAGCTTTAGGTTTTAGCTTTCAGCTTTTAGTTTATTTTTAGCTTTTAGTTTATTTCTAGCTTTTGTTTTCAATTTTGTATTTTACTTTAGCATTTTAGCTTCTAGCCTTCAGCTTTAAACCTTGAAATTACTCTATATAAGCGTTAAAGATTCTCCCAGTGGCATCACTGTACTTCGCGGTGTAATTCGATCGACATTCGAAGAAAGATACACTTGCTTCGTGCGATACACCCAAAACGAGGAAAAAACAATGAATGTCCCGGTTTTTTATCGCTGAGAGTGTCTAAAAATGCTACACTTGATCCTGGCAATAGATTCTTTGTCATGAGCCAATAAACGCTAAGCTCTATCGACTGTCGAAATGATTAGCTAGTAACCTCTCGATCAGCGCACAGTAGATTGCAAAATCACTGGTATCACAAAATTTGTGGATTGGTTCGAGTAGCTTGATGGCGATCAGATCGACGCCCTGAGGTCTCGCCTCAACATCACTGAAGCTCTTAATCATCATCATTCCACAACCGCTACATGTCATTGTGAAATATGGTATGAATATCAAAGCAGCGTAGTTCTTGGTATGCGTGTAAAAATAGTTGGTAAGCCCCCACCACTGTAGATGATTCAAGCACAATTAGATGTTGGGTCAGCTCGAGCAATAATACTTTATTGCATCCGAGCACTGAGGTCTCCGGTGTGAAAAACCAATTAGCACACAGCTTGTGTGATATCTCATAGCCTAAAATATCTGACTCACGCGGCCGAGATGAACTGCATTTCCCGTCTCCTTGCTTTGAGAAACTGATTACATTCAGATAACTTGCAAGCTAATGATGGGTCCCCAAGACGTGTGAGACCGCTTAATTAAACGTAGCTGGAGCTTTCTTGAGGAGTCAGTTGTCCACCGAGGGTGCTAACAGCAGTGAGAATCAAACAAATCAATGGCACTACGCACAACGAGCTCGAACATCGAGTCCAATAATATATCTTTGCGTGGAATTGGCGTCTGCGCCGGGATAGCTGTATCACTGTGTTTGCTGACTGTTTCAAGCGAGCGCGCTTCCAATCGCTATTCGTATTTGGACTTTTCTCTAACAATATGACTGAGATCGTTCTGTCCTTGATCCCCAGTATTGAATGTTATACTACAGACTGGATACCGACATGATCACATGATCGGCGATTCGACCTTTTATCATTGACGTAGCTGACGTAGAATGCTTCTTGTTGGGAGCAAGGATCATCACGGTGAGTGATTCATGACCATTGAGTGGGACCTCGCGTGATGGATCGATACGGGGGAATCAAAATCATATTTGGAAGTCGGGGCATCGACTCGCGGCAAATCTACACTGACAATACCATCGCGCACTGTTCCACGTTCTGATCATGGCACTTTATTGTGTAACAGGCTCAGCCCGCTACAGGCTCCGACTTCCGTTAAAGGCGATCACTTGAGCTCTAGCTGCGACAAGGTGCTAGTTCTTAATCAGCGTGCGTTGCATGCTCTCATTATGCCATAAAAACCTGCCATAACCCT